CTGTCGGTGATAGTGTATTGTGGGCATCCGTTTTCAGCGGCTTTTCTGCGTTTCTTTATCAGGCGTAGGGAGAATCTCGCTCGAAGCAGAGCATGGTCCGTGTCTACGGGTGCTGACCAGTAGGAGCGGCAGTCTTCAATGGAGCCTCGCCAGCGGTGGCTGATAGCAATGTCGTCGATTTGAGTCCAGCTCTGTGAAGCGGTTGGCGGGCTCCATGTAATACGGTGCCGTTTTTTGTGCGAGAAGTTCGTGTTTGACAGAAACAGTCCGTGATCAGCACAAAGTTGGAGTAGGCGTTCAGTGTTGTCAGTCCTGTTGGTTGGGATTGCATGCGGACCACCAAGTAACCTCTCTCATTCGTCCAGGGATCCCATTTAGTCATTGAAGTCTCCAGCGACCACCACGATGTCCGTTGACCAAGCGCTTTGGAGCAGTAGAGAGAGGTCCTTGTAGAATTCATCCTTTATTTCTGGTGAACCGCAATCGGTCGGTGCATGCGCGGATACGACGAATAAGCATTGACGCTTCGTTCTGTAGCTGTTGATGCGTACTTAACCATCCAGACGTACGGCGCAAAGTCGGCTGTTAACCGGGATCCAGTCGAGAAGTGAACGCTCGGCCTTGACACTCCATATATCCGAACAGAATGACTATGTCATCGGCGTACTTTAAACCTCACAGCTTTTCTCCAGCTGCCCATTCAACACCTACGTTTTGCAGTTCACTTCGTGCGTTCTCCAGTACGTCGACTACGACGAAATTGAACAGGAACGACGAGAGAGGGCAACCTTGACGAACGCCACTGCTGGTGACGAACGCTCTACTTAGTTCGTTGTAAACCCTTACACGACCGGAGGTATGTGAGTACAGTAACCTCAGTAGGTTAACGTACTTCTGGGGCATTCCTTTTCGAAAAAGGGAACCCATCAGATCTTAGAGGTCAACTGAGTCGAAGGCTCCTTTCAAGTAAAGGAATACTGCGATCGTTGGTCGACGGTGGGTCTGACGCAACATAAAAATTTGATCAATACATCCACGGCCAGGCCGAAATCTGGCTTGCTGTTCACGGATGTTCGTCTCTCTTAAAGGCGTCAGACGTCGAAGTATAACCGAAGTTAGCACTTTGGTGACGATCGGGATCAAACTTATCCCGCGGTGATTTTCGCGATCGTTGCGGGATCCTTTCCTGAAAATGGGAACGACCATTGACTCGTCCCAAGATGAGGGAATGCGCTCTTGCGTCTAAATGTTGCACAGTAGGGTAGTAATACAGCTTACGAGGTCATCATTTCCCATCTTGAAAAGAGTGGGAGGGAGCCTATCCGGTTCTGCTGCCTTTCCTCGCTTCAGAGCTTGAATGCAAGACCGAACTTCTGCTTCTGATGGAGGATCGCATGACAATGCCCACGGAGCTTCAGTTGCAGAAGAAGTAGCCTGGTTAGCACTAGGCTATCTGAACTGTTCGCTGAAGTATTCTGCCCAGTGTGAATAGCTTGTCCCCTCTTATCGTAGACTGTTTCACTAACTGCAGTCCGCCGATCACCCGTATTGCGTATCAGTTGGAACAGTCTGACTATTCCCTGCTGCAGCCGCTACTATAATTTCACTAGCTATTGTTGCCCACCAGTTCTCACGGTCCTCTTCGTGATCTGGCGTTGTAGATGCCACCTAACTCTATTTTGATCCTGGTAGGTCGGGATTTGTCGCTTTATCTCCATCAAAACTACTGACTCCTGAGATATCCAATGCCTCCGTTGGGCTTGAGGCTCAGACCCACAAGCAACATTCGCTGCGGAATGCATTGCTCGCCTAATCTGATCCCACTGCTCATCTATATCATCAGGTTGAGGCGCGCTTAGCTCATGCACTAGCTCTGATTCATAGCGTACACGAACTGCTGGAACAGATAGTCGATAATGAGCTGTGTAAGTTTGTTGAATTCGTCGCCGGCCAGTCAGTCGAAGAGTGAACTGCATGGTCAGACTCAACGCAGGTGGTCCAATAGGACCTGCAATTTTGCACTGAGCCACGCCGACAGTAACTTACTGCTATGTAGTCGATTTGAGTTAGCGTATCAGTTGAACTCGAGCGCCACGATGCCGTCCGTCGAGAGCTGTCTCGGAAGTCGTTGAACAGATGATGGTCTGCGCAGAACTGAAGAAGTCGATCACCGTTATCTGTCCGTTAGCTGGGCAGAGCACAACTACCACCTACGCAAGCTTCTGATGCGCCCGGTTTTCCAACCTGCGTGTTGAAGGCACCTGCAAGTACAACTATGTCGGAGCTTCGACCCATCCGAATGAGATCGGTGAGTTCGTCGTAGAAGGCGTCCTTTTGGGTATCAGAACTGCAATTGGTCGGTGCATATGCTGCTGATGAACAAACATCTTTTGGTGTTGCTTCCCTTCCGGACGCTGATTGAACCCTGGAGATGCACTGCACATAAACGACTGTTGACGGGGATCCAATCGATAAGAGAGGACTCCGCCCTGTTGCTAAGTACAATACCTACCCCTCGCTGAACAACTGAGCGGGCTTGATGTACGAAGAACATATCTCGAAGACAAATCTGGCGTATAGTGGTAGGATCCTGGATACGAGTCACCGACACGCAGCAAATATCGATCCCCAAAGATTCCATTGTACGCGCCAGACAAGCTTGTTGACATAGCTGCCTCAGTGTTCTCACGTTGAAGGCCCCCAGATTCGGTGATTGACGAGGCTTCAGAATATGCAATTCGTTCCGAGATACATTACTTACAGTGCTATTTGGCAA